AACAAAAATATAACACCTTGGAATAAAAAACACTCATCAACAAAATATAACACATATAAATCATCAGAAAATGTAACGTTTCTTACATAGATTTTATGGAGGAAGAACAACGAGATCAACGATAAAAAAATTCTGCAAAAAAAAAAACCAACACACCAATAACAACAAATAACTCACAACAAAACATAATTTGAGAAAAAAAAAACGTTAAAATGAGATATAATATATATAGAGAGAATAAAAAACGAAAAATCTAAGAAATTTATGACTTAATAAAAGATAATCAATATAAGCAACAAAAATATTTTAAAAATCTAATAATTTGAGAAAATAGAATTAAGAAAATAACTCTTTCACAAAGTGAAAATATGAAAAGAGTATGATAAATGTCTCTAAGAGTTATGTACATTGAAAGGGAAATTATTTTCTTATAATGAAATACATATTTTTTATTTAGAGGTATAATAGTCTTTAACTTATTTAATATTTTAAAAACTCAAAACGATGTGAATTGTTTTAAGACAAATCAAACTCTAAAAATATGTCACATCATTCTTTTCAGGTTTTGCTCTTATATGTATAGATTGTATTTTTATTTTATTTTTAAACTTTTAATTTGTTAGTTACTAGTCCTATAATTGTTTTGCTTAAATGAATTGTTAAAAATAAAAAATGGTGTCATTTTTAACATTAAAAAATTCTTTACTTCTTGTACCGATACATAAGTCAACATTTTAAATCTCGATTTGCAAATGCCCCTTTATGTCATTGCAACACACCCGTTTTGCTAAATGGTGCCCAGTCGAGGATTTGCCATTGCAATTCATTCCATTTTATTAAATGGGACCCAGTCGAGGTATGTCCAGTTTGCCGTTGCAATCCATCCTAGTTCTATGGTGGCCATCCATCATTTTCCAACGTGCCCATTGCCAACTGCCAAGTAGTCCTTAAAATGAACTATTTGTATTGATAATCCTTAACTTTTAATTTCATAACACTTAATGACGTTTAAGTTAACAAATCAATGTTAATAAATGTTAGAAGGGACAAATCGATCATTAAATAAACTACAGAGACCAAAAGCATAATTTACGGTCAAATTAATTGTGATTCATATTTTGAAGGCTAGATAATGGCTTTAGCTGAAGCAATTTTTTAAAATATGAGATGATTATATATAAAAATTTGTTCGTTATGTAAAAAAAACATATTTTAAAACTTAAAATATTATGAGACATCATTAAATTGAATTATCAAATAATTATAAATAAGTTATAACAATTAAATTGATATAATATTTTAAAAAATTGTTAACCGTATGTTTACTATATTTTTAACAAAAAATGGTGGACTACATTTCATTAATTACATGGTTGACCTTGTGGTTTGCAGTTTGCTTTCTTTGGTCCCTGGGTTTAGATACATGTGACATAAATGCACAAGTGTTCAAATCTCTCTTTTTGAAGAAAAAAGTAACGGAACAAACTCCTAAACGTATTATTTGAAAGTATGTTTTTTGAGCTCTGTTATTATTATAGTTTCAAGATATATATATGTTACATCGATAAAATAATATGGTGGTATTTTTCATGATCATCTATTTTATATATATAAGATCCCAGCATTACAATTCCATTTTTGTCTAAATTTCGAAGTAAAGGAGCTCGTCTAATAACTAACAATAAGTTAAGTTTCTATTACAAGATTGAAAAAATTAAAAGTTTTTATCCGATATTTACGGAACAAAAGTTTTTATCCGATTTTTACTTCTGGCTTTTTCAATATTGAAAAAATCAATCATTCACAACCACTATGAAGGATTCCTCTAAAAATTAAAAGTTACAAGAAAAGTTGGAACAAAGTCCCATTATCTATCAAAACCATATATTTAATTGTATTTTTATTTCTTACTTTTTAATTTATTATTTTGTTAATCCTGTAAGGGTCAAGATACGCACATCTGCAGAACTCGAAAGTCAGTCCGACCCAACCACAACTCTAATTTCACCACCATCTGTCTAACACTTTTAGAAACAAAAGGGTTAGCAGAATTGCAGTTATCTAACCCATTTCGAAGTTAAAGGAAAAAAGCACCATTGCAGGAAGCTCAGAAGAATTGGCATGGATCCTAATTCTAACGTCATGGATCAGAGGTTACCGTCTTCTTCTTCCTCGTAATTAACACACACGCACACACACACACACTCTTAGCTTAGCTTTCTTCCTCCCTCATGAACTGCATATAGATGTATGTATATGTCGACCAACAACTATACATGCTTCTATCACTACCCGGCGCCTCATTTTCCGACGTGTTTTGAAATGGTGTATCTTGAAATGGGTTCGGATTAAAACCCAGTAAGTTGATCAGAGGTTCCGGTGAATATGGCCGCCGGAAAAGGTGACTAGTTTGGTAGTGATCCGAGGTGTCACCGGAGCATGGCTCTATTCAATAATAATCATAGCTTAATTAGAATGAAAACCCATGGAAATGGCTGGAGTAGAGTTGGTAAAATGAAATGGTGTATCTTGAAATGGGTTCGGATTAAAACCCAGTAAGTAGATCAGAGGTTACCATCTTCTTCTTCGTAATTAATACACACACACACACTTAGCTTAGCTTAGCTTTCTTCCTCCCTCATGAACTGCATATGTATGTATATGTGAAAAGAAATCATGAAGTTAATGCTCGCTGATAATTCCATGGCCACTACACAGTTCTGATAGGCCGTCTATCATATACTTCTAACTAACACGCCGACCAACAACTATACATGCTTCTATCACTACCCGGCACCTCATTTTCCGACGTGTTTTCCGCCGATATGGCTTGCCAGAAAAGGTGACTAGTTTGGTGGTGGATATGGTATCGGAGGTGTCACCGGAGCATGGTTCTATTCAATAATAATCATAACTTAGAATGAAAACCCATGGAATTGGCTGGTTGACTAACATGTTAAGGTACTTTACTTTGTGTATGTTAAATATGATTATGTAACTAAATAACTAATACTAGCTATGTGTTTTTTAAGTACACCAATCTAAACATCTTAATAGTTTGATCAATGCATATCCATCCATTTTTGGATAAAATGCATGCATGGATGGGTTAACAGTCACAATTGCATTTATAATCTTTAATTATGTCATTGTTTTTTATTGATATAAACTTGATTAATAATGGTTGTTTTAGGTTGATGTGGATATCCCTATATGCTATTTATTTAGCGGTTAACGGAATATTGTTGCAAATAGTTTCTCAAATGATCGATGGTACCCCAGAAAACAAAAGACGCATGGTAATTTGCTTGGCATCCAGGGGCGGATCCCTATAGGGGCCTTTGGGGGCCATGGCCCCCCCGTTTTTATACATAAATACTATAACTAAGGTATTAAAAACATATATATTAAGTAGCTTAGTTGGCAATGTTGCTCAACCTTCATASTTGAGGTTGCTGTTTCAAATCCCATCCCAATCAATTTTTTTGAACTTTATATAATATATAAATTATTAATATTTAATTATATATATTAGTTTTTATAYAATATATTAATTATATGTAAATATAAGTTTTTAAAGTAAATTACACCGGTATTACTATTTCTCGGTTAATACTTTGAATATTTAAGTTTTTAGAGTAAATAATATAATATATTAATTATATGTAAATAATGTTTAAATTGGTATTTACTATTTTTCTCTTAATACTTTGAATGTTTCGAGTTTTAATATTACATTAATCAATCTTTTTCTAAAATTTAATAGTCTAAAAATAAATCATTTAGATTTACAAAWTTTTACAATAATATAGCATCTTCAACATATTCTTCAAAAAATTTCCAAAATGGATGATTAAAACTCTATTAAAACCATACTCGAGCTCCCCGCCCCAGCCAATCTCCCATTGGCAGGAAAGTCGTTTCGATCCAATCCATTCTTRGGATCAAATAAAGACAAAAAATTATATGTTTTCTCTCATTGTAATCAATTTTTGTTTACACTCTCTTATGTTTTCTCCGTTTTGGAGAATTTTGGAGAGTCTGTTGTAGCAAAAATATGCCTAAAATCTCCATTTTCTCAATTTTGAAAAATCTATTGAAGATGCTCTTATATTTCGGCCCCCCGGACTACAACGGTTGTGTTCCGCCCCTGTTGGCATCGTTATTCACGAATGTTGTTGCAGCAACATTATGGCTAGTGTTCCTTTCACCCGGTAATAAGCAGCACAATGATTGGAAAGCCATCTTGGTTTACGCCATCCTTATATTTACTGGAATCCTGCTTCCCTGTTTATCATTCTCAATGCTAATGCCAGAATGGTTCACTTTGCTACGTTTTACCGTCATATACACCATTATTGGAGGTCGTAATGTACTACAATTTATGTTCACCTGGTCTTATCAAAAACTTGTTGTTGCTATAAGGTACGTGATTGATAAGTTCGTGGCATTAATCTTGAGATCTCAATTGCTAATGGATGATACTCGTCCTAATGAAGAAGTCGTATAGTACGTTGCGACTATGGTCTGTAATATTTGTGCGTCATGTATTTTTGTAATTTATGTGAGGAAATGTAATGTTAAGGTTGTAGAATAAGTTGTTGGAAAAGTGGTTTGAAACTTAGATATTGTATTTCAATATTGATGACTAATAAAATAGCATACCTGCATCTGTGTTTGGGTTGCATTTAGAGTGTATGCAGATCCAAAAACATCCAAAGTTTGGGGATGATTTGCACAAATAGGAAAGCAAGGTAAGATCTTCATGAGTCCATATACAAAACAAGTGCGTATAGGCATTCAGTTTTCGTTTTAATGAATACAAAATTGGGTTGTCTACCATTTTGGGAGGATTCGCATTCGCATGTTAGTTGGTGTGTGGCGTTTGTATCAAGATGGAGTGTCGTATATATATATATATATATACATATATGTGTGTGTATGTATTATATATATATATATATATATATAGAGAGAGAGAGAGAGAGGCACACTCCATCCTCACCCGTCGTTGAACGACGAACTTTTGTGACCCTAGGGTGACGTGCGACCAGGCCGGCGACGGTCTCCTGTGTCACTGGATTTCAGTTCTTTCATCTGAGCTGCATGTGAGGATAAGAAGCAAAAGTAGAAATATATACCAGTACCCTTAATTCAGGTGTAAGTTGAATTCTTTTCATTTCTCTCATGCGTTTTCCAGTTATGCCTTCAAATTTCTAAATCTGCATTTGGCTTGGTTGTTCCTTTGTGGAATCCTCTCTTTTGACTTGTTCTTCCTCATAATTCTTCTAAATAAAAATAACATGAAAGAACTCGGTGACATTGAGGATAAGAATTTGGAGCAAAACTAAATTTAGCATTATATATATATATATATATATATATATATATATATATATCATGCATTATGGTGTTAAAGAACTGGCCAAGAATACAAAACCAATCCTTCTAATTAACTTCTAGCATAATATATATATATATATATATATATCCCAATCTTGTCCACATGAATGCCATAAAAAAGAATGTGATTTACCAGCACCAAGTATGAGAACAGATGCATAAAATCTGGTCCTACTGAAATGCCAAAACACTCCCAAAATAAGCGGATGGTGTTTTAGAGACTGCATAAACTGGAGAAAGAGTTTGGACAACAATGATTATAGATTCAATTTCGACTTCAACATTAGATCAGATAGGGAAAATGGGTAAAAATCAGAAATTTGTCATAACAGAAATCATAGAGTAGAAATCGATGGGGATAAACCACATTGCATGCAATGAATATGAAAAAATTGAATATCTTCAATGAATAGCGATTTCTTACGAGAGTGAGGGAGAGGCAAAGCTGATTCGTAATCGATCCAGATTCTGATGTTGGAGCCTTTATGAGGTTGTATTGGATGCAAAAAGTAGTGATCAGGAATGGCTTTGAAGAAGTAGATAAGGCGGGAGAGGCATACATGTATGCAATCTACATTTCTGGCCCTTCATGTTTTTTTCAGAAATTAGATGCTTAATTTTTCAATTTTTTTTATCTCTAAGAGTATCTTCAATGCTACTATAAAAAAAATAGATTTTAGAGATTATTTTATTTCAAGAGTTGCTTTAAAACTTCTCTTCTAATTTAAATATATATAAATTAGCTTGTATATTGGCTGATTGAAATCTATTTTGATGATCCTGGTGTAACATCCCCCGTCCCCGTGGTCCGGAACGGGCGGTGTCACTAACGGGACTTAATTCAATTACACAAACATTGCAGAGCTACTAATAAACTCCAAACGTAGATTAACTTCTAAAACATGCTTTACAATC